AATTATTTGATTAATGAAGTTCCTACCATACCCACATAATACACCCACTACATGAAATGAGCCTCAGTAACACATCATTTTACTAGATGCAGAGTATGGCAGCCGTGAATTGTATATAAATTATGTCTAATTTATTTACGTAATTCTCTATTACTGGATATTTGCATTGTTTGCAAATGTTTGCTACTATAAGCAGAACTTAGATAAAATTCCTTGTGGCTACGGATTTGCACAGATTTTTAATTGTTTCCTTAGAGTAAATTCCTAGAAGTGGAAGTATAGGCACAAGATGTGGCCACAACCAAGGACTTTTGACCCATTTTGCAAAACTATCCCACAAACTGCCAATGCCAATTTACTTTCCAAACTGCAAAGTGGGGGTAGTTTTTTCCCTTTAGCAATTCTCAATAGTTAATAGTATTCAAGCCTGAATATTACCATCTTTTCTCCAATTTTTAACAATTTGGTCAGCAAAATGACATTTTTTTTAAATGTGTATTTCCTTCATTACTAAGGAAAGTGACAGGACTCATATTCACTCATTGGCTATTTGTTACTACTGTGTGGCTGCTGGTTGGTTATCTCTTGTCTGCTTTTCCACTAGGATCTCCTTCCTTCTGGTGTGTAAGAATTCTTTATATATTAGCCCTTTGTCATTAAGGCTAATATATGTCATGTGTGTTTTAGTACTGGTTAAGGTTTTATGTTCAGAAATTTTAATTGGTATTTATTTTCTCAACAATAAAATGTGCTCAGAATTCCAAATTACTGACTTGTAAATGGGCGTTTGAAATATAACCAGTTGTACATGTATGGCCTTGTATACTAGCTACCTTATTATTGGTTCTCGTATCTTTTCTGCACATGAGCTCCTTGAAGGCACAAGTCGTGACATTTCTTAAACCCTCCATGCCAACCAGCACACGGTGCACAACACAGAGGAACTCCAAAATATTTGAGATGAAAAAACACCGTGTTTGGGATGTGCTTTGAAGCAATCCAGTTTGGGATGTGAGATGAAAACGAGGCAGAAATGAAACAGAATCGGCCACATGTTAATTATTGTTGAAGCTGGGTGACAGATACATGGGGTTCATTATACTATTATTTCTTTTTTTGTATATTTGAAGATTTCTATAACCAAAAGGATTTTTTCTTTTTTCTTTCTTTCTTTTTCTTTTTCCCTTTCTTTCTTTCTTTCTTTCTTTCTTTCTTTCTTTCTTCCTTTTTCCCCCCATTATCGATTGATCACCAGCATCACAGTGGGGACTTCTGGAATAACAATGGTGATGAAAATGAATTACATACGCATCAAGGCCACTTTTATAGCATAAAAAAGTCAAAAGCACAGGCCTTGAAATTAGGTAGCCCTGGGTACAAATCCTTTCTAGTGCAGTGACCTTGAACCAGTTATTCAACCTCTTTGAAATTTAGTTTTCTTTTATAAATAAGGGTATTAGTAACTACCTCAAAGGGTTCCAGTGAAGATTAATGGGTGTAAAACCCAGTGCCTAGCACCAAGTAACACTCAGTAGAGTAGATCATTATTACTCAGTGATGCACAAGCCTGACAAACTCCAGCCAACATTTCCTGGTGGTGCTAATCCAATCCCCTTCCACTACGGGCCGGGCTTTCAGTTCATCAGTTTGGGCATCAGACAACTGCTTGGCAGAGGACTTGGCAGAACAGATGTCGGGAATTTCGTTCCTGACGCCCAGAAGAGAAAACAGATAAGGCCGCAGGAAAGGACAAAGCACTTAACTCCCAGCCTTACTCAGCAGGTCACCAGAGAGCCTTAACTCCACATTCCGATGATGCAATCAAGAACAAGAGTGACGAAGTCCTTCCAACAGCAGGTCATTCAAAACCTTGACCAAACACTATCATCACCTGGGGAGCTTAAAATGTTTGGGGTCCCACTCCTAGCATTTGGGGGGCAGACTCGGTATCAAGGTTTTTAAAAGGCACACGTGACCTAATGTGCACCACCCTGCTGTGTTAAGTTGGGGTGGGGGCTGGGGGCACACAAAGAGGACAGGGAAAACAAGGAAGAGAACAGAGACCTCTGTGTCCCACATGAACCCCATTAAAACCAACCAACTCATGTGGTCCCAAGCTGTGTCCCATGCCAAACAAATCCAGTCCCATTAGGGTCCCCTTGCTCCCTCCATAAACCTCAAGAGCGTGATACTGCGTTACAATTCACAGGGCCAAGATACGGTAATAACATCATGATGCGCGCATATCAATATTCTAAAGAATACTAAAGCAGCACAGCTGGTCGCTGGATTTGGGTCTTAAGAAAACAAAACAAGACAAAAGTCCAGCTAAGTGACAGTAGAGGCTGGGGGAGGGAGAAAGCATTTTGTCTCGCAGCCCTTGGGCAGCCTGTCGTTGTGACTGAAGCACACTCAAAGAGGCAGCCTCATTTTGTGAAGTTGTCGCAGCGTCTTTGATCAAGGGAAAGAGCACATCCATTTCAATCACTGTAACGAGGACGGGCTGGCGGGCCGGCTGTCTGGCTGCCCGGCTGCCCACCGGGGCGAGCCAGCCTCGAGCCTGGAGACACATGGCAGTGCTTAGCGTGTCAAACAAATGAAGGGGTTCTCGACTGTCTATCCAACCTCTGCTGAACTTCAGAGGCCCTCTCTTTTAGCAATTCTGCCCCGACTAATCTGGAAGTTCCTTTCCGGCAAACACCACCTGGCCTGCCCTGGCCTCGCCAAAAGAAAAGCTGGCCAGCAGCTGTGTGTCGCGAGGCAGAGGACACTTCAGAACCAGGAGGGCAGGGGTCAACCTTCTCATAAGCAACACACTGGCGATTACACAATCCTAGAGAAAGGGGGAAAGGACAGCCATCCACTCCGCCTCCTCCCTATGACCTCTACCCCCATCCGGGCCCCAAAGTGGTAGAGGGAGGTCTGATGATCTCCCCTGCACGTGAATTCCCAGCAGTGCAGTTTCAAATACGTACGCAAACGTCACCTGCGTTCTTTTCACCAGAAGACATAAAAAAATAAAACACTGATGAGGGGGGAGGCTCAACAAAAGGCTTCATGTTCCTTAAGTGACGTCACCCGTAACACCTCGGGGAGACGTGAGTAGAACCAGAGTAGATATGGGAGTAATGATGACGAATGTGCAAGATGCTTAAATAGCATTTGTGTGTTCCCAGTGTTGTGCACATGATAACATATTTAGCCCTCACCCCGGCCCTATGAGGGAAGCTATAGCGACTCTCGTTAAGAATGGTAGTCACCGTAGTAACATGTAATGATATGTACAGTGTAATTATTATGGTTATATAGGATAATAACAGAGATCATAATCCCCGTTGCTCACAGAAGGACACTGAAGCCCAGAGATGCTCAGTGACCCGCCTGACGTGGGGGGCTGGGCATCACACCCGGGGGTTGTGGCTCCAGGGCCCACGCTCGAACCACAGCATGAGACCGCCTCCCTGCACTCCCCACCTCAGTCTCTCCCTGGCAGCTGCCAGTTTAGAGGGCACCAGAACACGGAGGACCAGGAGGACATGGGCGCTAGCGGGGTCTGAGTGTGAATCCCGGCTCTGCCACTCCTTGTCCCTATAAATGGGGACACCAACACCCACCTCACAGGCCTGCGGTGAGGCTTACGTGAGAAAATGAACAAGGGCGCCTCTCACAGGGTCGGCAGCCAAGGTCGGTGTAATCTAGGGGCTCTCAATCCTGGCCAAATGTGTGAACTGGCTACGAACTTTAAGAAATACGATGCCTAGGGGCGCGTGGGGTGGCTCAGTCAGTTAAGTGTCGGTCTCTTGGCTTCCGCCCAGGTCATGATCTCACGATTCGTAAGTTCAAGCCCCACGTCTGCGCTGTAAGTTCAAGCCCCACGTCTGCGCTGACAGCTAGGAGCCTGCTTGCGATCCTCTCTCCCTCTCTCTATGTCCCTCCCCTGCTCACGTGCACACTTTCTAAATAAATAAACAAACTTAAAAAATATGATGCCCAAACCCTTCCCCAACACCCGTCCACGCTTCCCAACAAGCGTCAGTCTGAAATCAGCAAGCCCCAGGCCCAGCCCTGAAAAGAAACACGAAACCCATGAAACCAAAGGCCAGGCTACACCCTTTGCCCCCTTGATTCAGAATTACAGAGAAGCTTTGAAACCTCTAAAGCCTCTGCTTCCAGCCCTAAGGTAGTGGGACTCCCCCAAATGGGGCCCTATTCCACAAAGGGAGAAGCAGACACCACGATCACCCCAACCATGTGGCTGACTCACCCTCGTCCAGTGAACTTCCCTACTTTCACCCTGACAACACTTTCATCCAGCTGCCTCCCACCCCCCCAGACGACATCCCCCATCTAGCCTCAAAGCTTCGTAAAGGGGCATCCTGTTGTCCCCATGCTGCCTGTTTTAGAAATAGTTGTGCCAACGTCACTATTACACAAAGCAGTAGCCAGAAGACAATGCAGGATGAGAGGTGGGACTGCCTGAAAAGAAATGTTAAAATCTGGGTGCGTGTATGCGCACACACGCGTGCACACGCTCGCACTCACACCAAGAATCGTGGGACAATGGGTACTCAGAGGGAGCACTGCTTCGTTCAAGGACTGGGGGTAGGAAGAAGGGGAGTGCAGAAGGGGTAGAAATAAACAGTGATGGGATTACCAGGGGTTGCCCATGGAAACTGGCTGGGATAAGAAAAATAATCAGTCAGCATTTGACAGAAGAGAAAAATGGAGACAGCCAGCAGGGAGCATGGGGACCAAGCAATACCAGTTTCCTGGCTCAGACTTCCATGCCCCTTTTTCAGGACCCACTGCCAGCTGGCAAAGGGTGGCATGGAGAGCCCAGGAGGGGGAATGCAGGCACCAGAAGGTAGTACCAGAAGGTGTCAAAGAGCCCTCAGCTGTTTCCCAGAAAGCAAAGGCTCTGAGGGGCCCTCCCACTCTCAAGCGCCTCCCCTTGGCCTCAGTCCAGGAAATCGGGCTGAGAGACTTGGCCAAGGCTTCACCTGGGTAAAAGAGCCATCCTCGCTGCACTCCGGGACAAACACCGCCTCCTGGGGCTTCTTGGCTTGCTCTAGGGCCTGCGCTCGCTCCAGGCGACACTTGCTCTGGCCAGCGTCTATAAGAGGAGAAGAGGAGCACATTTCATATTTCACCCGGATCTGCACTGGAGCCATGGGACAAAATGGCTGCCCAGTACTAGGAATGCTGAGAGAAAACCTCTCTGCCTGTGGGTGAGCCCACAATACCACCAACTGGATTTTCTAACAACACAAAGGCAGTGGCTAATAAGTGCTGCTAGGCCTCATCGTCCCCTTAATGTTGACCTTAGAAAAGCCAGGGAGGCGTATTTATACCAGATTCTGCTTATTTTTTTCTCCCAAGTACCTTCAGCCACACCCACCCCCAACCAGGGGAAAATTTTTTTCACTGGGCGTATTAAAAAACTTGCAAGCCCAAGGGGTCTCAAAGATGTTTTATGCTTTAAGAATTGCAAGCACTTTCTTTGGAACACCAAAAGCTCTAGGGCAGTCTGCTCAGTCTTATGCCATTTCCGACAACAGCTCGAAGCAGCCCAGAGCTGATTAAATCACAAACTCCAATCTCCACAGGGCCTAGGAAAGTGATATAAATTAGGGGACTGAACTGGGTGTGCAAAGAACGGCACTCAGCTTGGAGACACCCCAGGGAGTGCTGGGGACTGCGGCAAAGTGGAGAACGGGCTCCCCTTTAGAGGAGGAAGCTGCTACTCAGGTCTAGCCATGTGTTTCCCTGTGGGAGGGAACACAGACCTAACATTACCAGGGCTTCCAATTATTTATGAGAAGTACCAAAATCCAGATTTTTATGTTGAATCTCTCAATTTTGAAATGTTGTCTCAAATGTTTTTAATATTTTTAAACACGCGAGCAGCCCAAACAAAACCCATCTGTTGGCCAGCCATTTGGAATCCCTATTCGGGAGCCAACAATAACGTCTTGCCATTTTAAGCATCTCCATTTACAAAAACGAAAAATACAAATAAAGGGCACCAGCCAGATAGCAGCACGTCTCTCTAAGCCCTAGCCTGGTGGCAGTGTTGGAAGGACAGAAAAGTACTCATTCCTTCAGGTAGGCCAGTTCTCCTTCCCATGTTCCCTGGTGGGAGGGCGGAGGGTTAGTGGCAAACAAAATGAACAGACGCATTCTGAGTTTCCCACGAAACTTCAAGCACAGCACGAAGGGAGCCATGCGGCCCGGGAGCCTCGTTGCGGCTGGGCGAATGTGCCCACACTCACCTTTGCATCTACCGCGATGTACCACACCCAGGGTCGGGTCTCTGCACTTGGCTCGCTGGTACTCACACATGGACTCGTAGGACCTGCCATCGGAGGCACAGATGGGTTTGGGCTGGGTCCTGGAGCAGTGGAGGTTGCACTGCGGGTCACGGTCACTTATGAGGAACTAGGTTGGAGAAAAGTGAAAGAGTACAGAGGTTACGTTTGCAAGAAAAGCAGGGGTGAGCCCGTGTCTTACAATACTGCCTCGCCTTGGGGCGCAGGTCCAGAATAAACCCAAAGTCATTAACCCCTAGAAGTGGAAGGGAACTCAGCCGCCACGAAGTCTAACCAAGGAAAGCATCTTGTGCTAAGTCATTCACAGGCAGGATCTCATTAATCCTCACAACAGCCCTATGAAATAGGAACTATTTATTTTGCAGATAAAGAAAATCAAGCCAGAAAGAGGGAACTTGTCCAACGTTACACAGCTAGAAGTGACGGATTTGAACCTAGATCGGTCAGAAGTCAAATCAAAGCTTTTGCCACCGGGATAGTCAGCCTCTCCATCCTTGCATGTAGTCACATGACCCCTGTTTGGGTACTTCCCCAAATCAGCAACTCACTAGCAATCTCTGCATCCCAGCTTTGGGGAGTTTCATTTATTAGAGAGTAGTACTGAGACCCAACTCCATCACCCTTCAACTTCTGACCATTGTTCTCTGGCAGAGGCAAGTGATTTTCTCTGAGAAAAGGATTTCCTGATTTAAAAAGATAATAATCGGATTGGGAAATACTGAGTTAAACAGGTTTCCTTGCTGCAGGACTGCTCAACATCTTTGATATATTCTTATACATTGTGATAGCAGCAAATTGTGTGCTACTCTTCCTGTTGAGCTAATTCCCTCCCTTGAATCTGGGCCAGCCTCAGTAATTTGACCAATAAAATGCTGTGGAAATGATGTATGGGGCCTTTTGAGCAAGGTCATAGGAAGCTTTACAGTTTCCTCCCAGGCCTCTCATAACACTCAGTCAGTACATAAGAAGCCAAAGAGCCCTGAGACTGCCATGCTATGAGGAAGCCCAAGCTAGCATGTGACAAAACCAGTTGCAGAGAGAAATGCCCAACCAACCCAGGCACAGAGATATGTGAGTGAAGAAGCCATTACATGAGTCCGCCCCCACTATCATCTGATTGCATAAAAATAATAAAAATAAATAAAAATAATCGCATGAGACACCCCCAGTGAGAACCACCCAGCTGATCCCAGTCAACCCATGGAACTGTAAGGGATGATAATAAACTGATGTATTAGGCCATTAAATTTTGTGGTAGCTTGTTACACAGCAATAGATAACCAGGTCAAGGGGCATGCAGAATGATGCATCTCCCACTTACCTGACCGTGAACCCTTTTTTTAGTGAATCCCTGTTAGCAAGTATAGGATACAGCTGGAAAACAGTAATTGGATCACAGAATCTGTGAGCTTCTGTTGAATAACCCATGATTAGGCTGCAGGGGCTGCATCCACTCTTATCTACCCCTAAAGAGCAGAGCTCTAAGCCCACTCAAGGCTCTTCATCAGTACAAGTTGACAGAATGCATATTCCACAATAATGCACGGCAATGTCGTGAGCACACATCTGGCCACTGGTGATACTGGAGTGACTGAATAATCACACCAAACTCATAGGATCTAGGGAGGGTGTGAATACAACCCCTGTTTCCGATGTATCTTCAGGCCCTTTGTGCAAAGCAAATAAATGAGAGTTTGACCCTTTTCCAGAACAGCAGAGGGAGTCCGCAGGCAGTACCTCTCCCTTCAAGGGAGCACCAGGAAAACATACCCCACCCCGGCCAAATTCCAGGAGAGTCCAAGCCTGTCCCCTAGGGCACACACTGTCCCCCAAATGCGAGACCGGTTCCTCCTGCGACCCTGACCTCCTGCCTGAATGCTGGCTGGTCAGCACAGGGAGAGAACAGCTGAGGGCTGAAACCATGCAGCCCTCCTCAGGATGGACAGTGTAACTTGCCTTCCCTGCAGACCCTCTGGGCTCCCACACACACGGGTTCAACCCGAATCCTGCCCAAGCCCAAAAGGAAATGTCCTGATAGCATCTCATAGTAGAGTCTAGTGCTCTGGGAGGGAAACCAGTAATATAGAGAACCATATCCAGAGGAAGCCCACTGCCTCCCAGGCTGCCACACAGAGGAGAGAGCTTGATCTGACAGGATAGTGGAAAGGGGTAGTCCACACCTCAACCCTGCATGAGATCCTTGGCCTCACTGCCCTCAGGTTCACCCTGTTTGAAGTCCTTGAGTGGTGTCCTATTGCCCCTCAGGACCTTCACACAGTCTCACAGGCCTGACGGAATCTGACCTTGGGGCCTCCTCCCCGGCCTCAGCTCTTACCGCTTCGTCCTCACCTCGCCCACCGCTGGTCAGGCACACTGGCCTGCTTTCCATTTCCCAAATGAGCTTCATTTGCTCCTACTTCCAGGCCTTTGGACACACTGTGCCTTCTCCCTTCCCTCCCACCCCTACTTCAGATTTCAGCTCACATCATCTCTTTTAGGAGGCTTTCCCTGACTCTCACAGATGAGCACAGGTCTCCTAGAATAACTTCTCACACGTCACTTTTCCTTCCCGGCACTGAATACAGTTTGTGACGATGAACTGTGTGAGTTGATTAACAATGGAATCCCCAACTCCGAATCCCGCAAAGACAAGGAGAATGTCTATTTGGCCTGTGAATACATCCCCAGCATCGAGCACAAGGCCGGAGCACTCAGGCATCTGAGGGGTGAATGTGTCCCCATAGCAACATCTCCCACATGCTATTACCTCAGAAGCAACTGGTGTAATGTGACAGGTCTGGCCTTGAAGGCTCCTGCCATAACCCCAGGGGATCACTGGGCCACTCCCGCACCCCCATGCTCTGAGCTTTCCCCTCTGTGCCAACCCCACATTCTATGGTGGCTGAGGTGGTCCACAACTTCCTGCCCCAGCTCCACCTCAGAACTTAAGCTGGCTCTGAGATTGAACGGTGGGTCTTTTCTCTCCTACCCCACCCAGGCCCGTCTGCCACTACGACTGTCTCTGCCTAAAGTGACCGCCCGCCATGGAAAACTTGGACCCCAAAGGTCCAGCTGAACGAGGCGGGTTTGGGAAGCCCTGGCCACAGGCTCCTGGATGGACACAGGACACAGGGGGCTGCAACCCACAAAGCCGGTCTCAAAACATCTCTCTTCCCCCCTCTGGATGGAAGGCTCTCCCAGACCCATGCCTAACCTGTCCGCAGCCTAGAAATGCAGCCAGACCTGGCTCTGTAATTCTGCCTGGTGAGCAGCCGGCACCTGGGCCGAGGGTGGGATCGGTGTCCTCACATCCAGGCTTCTCCAGGCCAACCAGTGACCCCGAGACCGTCTGAGAGCATGGGCCATGGCTCTGCTGTTATCACCACCGCCTCATCTGTGGACCCACGTGCTACTTACCTGCAGTGTGGCCTGCCTTTAAAACCTACTTGGTTAGGTTAATTTGCCACGGGAATCAGCAGGATCCAAGGAAAAACATGCCCTTTCTTTCTCAGGATCGGACAAGGACAGAACTATCTGTATCTCCTAAAGCCTGGGAAAACCCAGGAACTCATCCTTGGTCACAAAGGGATTTGGTAGCCAGACCTTAACTCTGAAGATCGGTAACAACAGGAACTAATAATTAGGTATCACTTCCACTGTGTTCGCTAATTTAGTCTTTACAATAAGCCCGTGATAGGCAGAGTAAGCTACAAACCTAATGTTACAGATGAGGAGACCAAAGCCCAGGTAACTCTTCTAAGCACAGGGTGTGAGTGTTGGAAGTGACACCCACAGCCTGGCTCGAAGCCGTGCTTCCAACTACACCAAAACCGCCCTTCTTTATTACAGGGCAAGTCTGCAAACAGAAGGTCCGCCCCTCCTGCACAACTGGATTCCCAAAGTCAAAAGCCACTTACCAAAAGCCTACTGTGTGCCAGCCACCAACCGCTAAAGACCCAGACAAGACAGGACTGCCTGGGAGAAGAACCTCACAGGGCTCATGTTCACCTTAAAAAGCAGGCATCGAAAGAGACAAAGTTCCTTTTCAAACCCAAGGAGATTGCCCTGTTCTCTCTTCCTCAGCTCACGGGAGAGGAGAGCTGTGGGCGTCACCGTGGCATTGAACTGCAAGCCATAAATTTGGTTTGGAAATGGCTTGCTCTGGGCCAACAGAGACGCTACGACAGCTGTGCCAGAGACAAGCTTAATGACTAGGGGAACATTCTGTCTGAAAACAGGTTAAAGAGCTTCAGAGGAAGCCCCACCCACCCCCAACACACGGAGATCCTTCCCACCTCCACAAGGGCTCCCCAAAGGTTCCATCTAGAAATTACTGGCCCCTGAGGCCAAGTAAAAAAGTTCCGAGACAGCACGGGGCCATTGCTAAAAGACTGTCTTGCCCCGTCTGTGGTGTCTCATTTTCATCTGTTTTAGGAACTGTGTGTATTTGTGGTTGTTTGAAAAAAAAAAAAAAAAAAAAAAAAAAAAGGCAATGAGTTCTATAAAATGGACTTTTAATAGGATGACTATGCCCTAATATGATCACCCAAACCTCCACGGCCTGAGGGGATTACTTTAGGTCCACAGACACTGTTTATTGAGCCATCCATTCATCTACTTCTGTCCTCAATAAGCCAGCACTATGAGCTCAGCACTGCATGAGGCATGGCAAACAGAACATAACCAACATAGTCCCACCCCCCAGTGAGCTTACACTCTAGGGTGGAGACAACAAGCAAGCAGACAGTGGCCATACAGCAAGGGAACAGGATACTGCAGGGCCTCGAGAGGATTTAGTCCTAGGGACTCTGCAAGGCTAAAAGCCACACAGTCCAACAGAACTGTCTGCAATGACAAACGAGTTCTATATCTGTGCTGTCCAACACAGTAGCCACAAACCACATGTGGCTATTAAGCCCTGAAATGTAGCTAATGCAACCGAGGAACTGAATTTTTAGTTGCATTTAATTTTAGTTAAATTTGCATAGCCGCATGTGGCTAGGGGCTACCATATTCGCGAGCACAGTTACAGAGGTGGGGGCGTGGGGGGAGGGGACAGAGACACTCATCCTTGCTGGAGTTTCTCCTAGTTGAGCCAAGCTAAGACTCACCGGACCATGGAAAAAAAGAAGCAGATCATTTCTGCATTTTGAGACTGGACGTGAAATCAGTTCATTACTTATTGGTCAACAGCAGGACTGCCTAGGAGTTCATCAATCTACCTGAGGTCACAAAGTTGGCTTTTTCCTCTCTTCTGCAGGAGTTAGGGGTTCAGGCTACAAGTGCCCAGCACCGGCGTATGGCCTGGGTCAGTTCTCTCAACACAGAGACCAAACTCAGAGTCTGAGTCACCCTGTTGTACCTGAACCTCCGAGCCACAGACATCTGCTGTAGGCTCAAAAGCCGCCATGGTTGAAGGAAGTTTTTGGTATTGGGTTGGGGGCCGGGGGAGGGCAAGCTGTCTCCCCAGCTAGACAAAGCCTGGACTATTTCCTTCTGGCGGGGGGGGGGGCCGAAATAGTATTTTCATAAAAATCCTCACATACATTCCCTTCCTTCTTCCTAACCAAAAGACAACAAAAACAAAACAATTATGCTAAATATGATTGCATAATACGGAAACCAAACAAAAGGGGCCAGGACAATTGTGAGTTTGCAATCATCTGCTACTCCCACCCTCTCTCTCCTTGGGGAGTGAATGATTCCAAAGCAAACACACAGCAGTTTATGTTTTGCTCACATTTGTAAAGTAGGACAAGCACTTGAAATACATATAAACAACCCATCCTTCCTAGTGGAAAAGTAAGCTACCGGCTGGGGACTGTCGTCTCCAGAGAAGAGACGGAGGTGGATGAAGCCGGTGTCAGACTAACAATCCCTTCTGTCCGAAATGCACACAGGCTCCAGCAGAGTAGAATGCAAGCCCTTTTGCACTGGGAGACCACTCCAATGCCACAAGCTGTGTTAGGTTTGACTGACTTCCAAGTTTCCATGACAATACAGGGAACAACAGAGGCAGCCTAAGGTTCCATCTAGGAGGAGATGTTCGAGTCTGTAGAATATGGAACTGTTTTTGCAGTCTTCACTTCCACCTGTACCACGCTGATTTAACCAGCATCTGAAATTCTTAATCGGCATTTTTCTGGTAACACGCGTATCTCTCTACTTCTCCCAGCTATAGAAGAGGGGGCAGGAGCCCTTCTAAACAGCCGGGGCAGCGCCCCAGCCACTGTGCCTAGAAATGGGAAGGCCACAATTTGGAGTAGCAAGTGGCTTTCCCCTTTATGAGATCAGAGCCAAAACTCACAGGCCAAACTCAACTGATGTGAGGTTTTCTTCAGTAAACTTCTGCATAACACGGCTCCAGCTACTCACTTTTAATATTTTTCCTTCGCTTATCTGTTGCTGCGAAGCAAACCGTCCCCGAACTTAGTGACTTTAAATAACTGATCATTTCTCTCGAGTCCATGGCTTGGCTGGGCTCACCTGGGAGATTCTTCTGCTCCGCGAGGTGTCACCTGAGGTGACACATTTGGCTACCTTCAGTTGGGAGCTTGTCCGGGGCTGGAACATCCACTGTGGCTTTACTCACTGGTGCCTCCGTTGGAGTGTCTGAAAAAACTATGGTGCTGGCTGGGCCTCTCTCTCCAGCAGGCTTTTCTCGCTTATCCATAATGACTTCATTCAGTCCTTTACCTTCTGCCTAGATGTCTGACCCTGCCACCAACGTTTTCTCCCCATTCAAGTTCAAATTCCGTACTGCGCTGAGCTCGTCATCCCAAAGAGCAAATGTTTTCATGTTTTAAACACCACCAGTAGCTCCTTGGAGCTCTTGCTGCATTGTGCTCAGATTTCCATCAAAACCCTCAGCACACCGCACCATCATTCGTGTGTTTATATGTCTGTGAAGGACTGTGTCCTGTGTCTCTTTACATACACGGGGCCTAACACTGCCTGATCTAAGGCAGTGTTCAGTAACAAACCTTACCTAAAACATATCCCGGATAAGAAGCTCCCCCCCCCTTTTTTTTTATCACTTACTGTGAAAAGAGATCTTTGTCCAACCACCGCCAAAAGCTTAAAATTCTCAAACGCATAGAGTAATGTAAGCTGTTTGTTCTTGTCTTTCCTTTGAAGGAACATCTATTAGATAAGGAAAGCCGTACATTAAACACAGGATTTTTTCCCTTGAATTAAAGGAAAAGGAGTCACAAAGACATTGAAGGGGATGTACCGGAGTGGCTGAGACAGGACCCATATACCCACGGCAGATATCATCATTAAGCAGCCAAGCAACTCATTCCCGGTGAGGCTGCCCCTGCAGGAATCCTCCTCACACGGCCCTCCCCCAGCCTTCCTACGACCCTGCAGATAAGTTATCCCTTCCCTAAGTTAGGCAGTAATCTGAGGGGCCCAGGGTTGCTGAGCCCGAAGTGAGTATGTGTCAAGGTAGAAAACTCTGATAATGGTATCAATGAGTCCTTTATAAGTCAGATTTTTGGCACCCTGAATTCACTTTTCCACAGAATGAAGATTGTAAGTAATGGTGACTTTCCCGGCCCAAACTGCAAACGCTTACTTGGAAGGACTGGGTAGGGGAATGATCCCTACCTGTGCGCCTGCTCTGTCGGTATTGGTATCACAGTACAGGTCCCTCCCGTCCGCGCCCCCAGCTGCATAGGAATGGTTAGCCCCCACTGCGCTGTTCCTGCCTCAGGACTTGCTGGCCCTTCCCCTGGACTGGGCCCCAACCTCATACCTCCCATCCATCCTTCCAATTTCAGCGCAGATGCTGCTTCTTTGGGGCACTGACTTCCCAAGTCAATCAGGACCCCTGTGACGAGTCTCCTTAACAGCCTCTGCTTTCCACTGTGCTCTGTGTCACAACTGCAATTAAGTCACCAGCAGCTTAATTGTATGTTCCTTGCCCAGGAAGCAAGATTTGGGTGCCACGCCGCCGGATCCCCAGTTCCCAGCAGGGGCCTTGCCCCAGGCGGGCACTCGGTAAGTACTTATGACGGAATAAATGAGGAGGAGGCCGAGGCCCCGCTGGGTCAGGCTAGTTAAGTGGCGGGCACTCTTTCTGTCTGCCTCTAAAAGGCCAGACTCCTTCTGCTACACCACACTGCCTCCTTTGGCACAGGGTAGAGCACTGAGCCCAAGGCTGGCTGGGGGCGGAGGGGGCTCTGTTGATAGCTCTGGTAGCAGTAGGCAGGGTCTCCGGCCTTGGCTCCTCGGTGGCAGGAGAGGAGAAGGGTCTACAGGCAAAGCGAGCTTTCCCAAGGGAGGGATGTTTTCCCGTCACGTTTGTGACTCAAAGTCCGGCTCGAGTTTTTAGAACCCAGGCACCACAGAGCATTTCCGGGAGGTAGCTCTGCCATTGAAAAAGGCAAAAAAAGCCACTCCTAGAGCCAGTGCCTGGAACAAAGAGTAGAGAACCACATTCCAGATGCCGAGCCGTAGCTCAGCCTCTTACTCTCCGGCCAGGGACTGTCCACCTCTTGTCACTTGCTTCACCATCTGCAAAGCCGGGCTTTGGTCTTTTCCCCCGGGGGCCTGCGTCTTTGGGAACAAAGAGCAATTTCACATTAAAATGTCACTCACCCACCCACTATCTAATCCATCATCTGCATGGAAAGTCCACATCCCTATTTCTGCCAGCATGCTCTCACCCTTCCTTGACCCCACGACCACTGCATTTACACAGGTGCAACGGAGGGTCTCGATCTGGCGGCTGCGGGGTGGGGCGCGAGAAGATGGAGGAGGGGAGATAAGGGAGGTCAAAGGGAAGGGGAGGTCTGCAGCCACGGTGGTGTCTGCTCTTCTTCTACACGCTTCCACCGCGGGGCCTGACAACAGCATGCCCCCCGATTAAAGGGCTTTTCACGCTGCTGAGGGAAAGCAGACATCCCCCTCCAGCTGTTCGGCAGCTGGAACCACTTCTGTTGTTTTAGCCAGGAGAGGCCTGACCTTTGTCACCCCACTCCCACCCCCTCCCCAAGGGAGGAATTTAGTGGTCACCCCACCCCATCCACCCAGCTTCCCTCCTCCCCTGTGCCCCCCACCGCTACGGGGACGACCGGTCAGGACCCAGGGGAGAAGGCTGTCCCAGGCCAGGTGCCACAGTGGGGGACAGGAAGGGAGGGAGGGTCAGTAGGTTGGACAAAGCATCTGGGACCCTGGGTCCAAAGAGGCACTGACAAGGTAGGCACTAACAAGAGGTAGGACTGACTCAGATGCTTGCAGTTCACACAGACCCATCCACACCCCGCTACGTGCCCCCTGCTCATCTATGAGAAAGGCAGGGCAGACAAAGTGTGGGTTAGGGTCCACATTATCAAATTCCAAAATAGGAAGCGTGATTCTAAGTGAAAGGAACCAGACTCAAAAAGCCACATACTGCATGACTCCCTGTATATGACATTCGGAAAGAGGCAAAGCTATTCGGATATCAGTGATCGCCAGGGATTGGAAGGAGGCAGAGAAGCGTGAGAGAATGGGGGTGGGTGGAATATTCTCTATCTTGGTTATGTTGGTGGTCATACAACTACATAAACATTAAAGACCATAAAAGTATCCACCTAATAAGGGCGATTTCTACTATACGTACATCATACCTCAATAACCAAAAATAACCCTAAAACTAAAGAAAAATAATGCCAAAGCATGTTTGTTTTGAATGGCACATCAGACCTCCCAGAGGCAGCCGAAGAGGTTTCTGGAGATTTCTTTGCCCACTCCCTCAATTACCAGGCATTGCTCCGTGCATTGAGGGTTATAAAAAGCAAGAACAAAGGCCCTGCCCCCCTAAAGCTGAGCTGGTTGCAAACACTGGCATGCACACAGCTAACTCCATAGGGATTGCATTTGCAACAGCAGCGACCAGGAAGCAAAGACTAAGTCACAGACAAAAGGGAGGCATGTTTGAAAATGGGATGCCAAGAAGTCTGAGATGTGGTGTGGCTAACTCTAAAGAAGAGAGAGGGGAAAAGAGGAGAGGGGAGAAAAGAAAGAATAAAGAGGCATCCATTCAGCAAAGAACTGCTGAGTGCCTATTCTGCCCCCAGACTATGCTGAGTGCTGAGGACAGACCAGCTGCCCCCTTGTTCTAGGGGGTCAGAGGAAGAGGTCCATTCAGACTAGAAGGATCCAGGAGGATTTCTCAAAGAAGGGGCCATTAAGGGGATTGTAAAGAATTTCCATAAGCAGGAAGGGATGTCGCAAGGGCATCTTAAGCAACAGCGATGGGTACACGGAAATAAAGAAGCAAACTCATTTTAAAAAATAGATTAGAGGGGCACCTGGGTGGCTCAGTCAGTTGAGCATCCAACTCTTGGTTTTGGCTCAGGTCGTGATCTCACGGTCTGTGAGTTCAAGCTCACTGCACAGAGCCTGCTTCGGATCCCCTGT